CCCCCCACCCCCATGGGGGTTCGAACTCACGACCTCTGCAACTAGCGGATTATGAGGATACCACTAGACCACCGGGGCGACCGGTGCTTTGAATAGTGCCGGTGAAATTGCGCACACCCCGGCACTAAACAGGGACCTCAACCGTAGAACATATGGCATTGAAGGTGGAGGCATTGTGAGTCGAGGCTAACGAGCCATGAACTATGGTATGGAATATGGTATGGAATATGGTATGGAGGAGGCGGTGTGGGCCGAGACCAACGAAGAATGTATGGAATGTGGACTCGTTGTGGCCCGTCTTTGGCTTTTTTTTGTCTTTATTTTATTTTCTTAATTTGCAAGGCCAAAGGGTCTGGCGGCTTGTGTCAACACAGAATGACGAACAACAGGTTCCCTCAGCACTCATTGGAAACATAGTTAACACCGAAAAGGGTAGTCTATTATCTCGAACGGGATATTGTCTAAGGCGAGAATTCGTGGCACAACATTGTCGCCCTCCCCCCCCCCGCTGTTTCGTTTCGATATCTCTGGCAGACAAGCGAGACGGCTGAGATGCTGCGGGAGAAGTACGCCAAGAAGTTGATCTTGTCGGAGGGGAAGCAGCTCCAGGTACATCCGCGAACTCTCGACCATGAGTGCACGACAAGTAATAGAAGAGCTCACGGATATAGGCTCGGTCGGGAGCAATGGGTTGCCCGCCCAAGGTCTAAGAGCTTTGTTTCAGGATAAGCTGCCGAATACCCAACGCGCTTAGCGCTCTGTGATGTACTCCTAACCGGTACCTCACGGCACCTCGTGCTTGGGGGTGGGATAGCCTGGTCCGGTGAAAACCCGGCGTGCTCCGTTCCGGCTTTGTAGGACGATGCACGGCTGTCAGTACGCCACCGCAACATGTCCGCCGCGCTCTCTTTGAGCACTACACGAGTGCCTGAAATGTTCACTATTAACAACAGCTTGCTTTGTTCCTCCCCGTGCCTCCAAAGGTTTGATGCAGGAACAACTGGCTGATTCTCATTACAGCACTTGCCTTCCCCCCCCGTGTCTCCAACGTGTCAACAAGTGACTGATCACAATTACAACAACTGCTTTCCCCCCACCGTGTCTCCAACCCGTATATGCAGGAACAACTCACTGCTGTCCGAGGGTATGCTGCGCAGGAGGTTAACGAAGTGGAGTCGTCGACGCTGGAGAAGCTGGAGGACCTCAAGCAGGAGTACGAGGTGGAGGTGGAGCAGCTCGGGACCGACCTGGCGGTGAGTTTCTGATGGCCTCCGTTGCTGTTGCTGTTGCTGTTGCTGTTGCTGTTGCTGTTGCCATGGGTGATGGCGTTTTCTAACCGATCTGGCCGTGCGCTTCGCTGTTGCTTTTGCCTTTCGTGTTGATGATGACGATGCTTTCGAAGTGATGTGCCCGTGAGTTTGTAGCCTTCTTTCTCGTTCTGTTGCTGTGATGATGAAGATGCTTTCCAACTGGTCTGGAGGTGCGTTTATGTTGGCCGTGCGTTCCTTCGTTGTACACCGCCAGTTCGGTTCGAAAGCGTCATCACCAACAGCATCGACTCACCCGTATCATTTCGACAACATAACCACCACCATATCATCATCACCAAGATAACTTCTTCGCTGCTGTTGATGATGACAATGATTTCGGACTGATCTGATTGTGAGATTCTGTTGGTCCTATGTTTTCGTTGCTTCTGTGATGATGATGATGTTTTCGAAACGATCTGGCGGTGCGTTATTGTTGGCCTTCCGGGTCCGTTGCTGTTGCTGTTGCTGTTGTCGTTTTCGAACCGATCTGACGGTGGGTTGCTGTTGGTCTACGTTGCTGCGGGTGCTGCTTTTGCTGGTGATTGTGATGGTGGTGACGCTTTCGACCCAATTTGTCTGCGAGTTTATGTTGGTATTGGTTTCCGCTGCTGTTGCTGTTATGACAATGATGATGATGTTTTCGGACCTGGCTGTGAGAAATTCTGTTGGCCTTGGTTTTCGCTGCTGTTGATGATGATGATCATGTTGATGTGATTGTGCTGGCCTGGGGTGAGATTCTGTTACTCTATGCGTCTGTTGCTGCTGCTGTTGGTTATGGCAACCAAGTTTCGAAACCATTGCTTTCTCTGCCGCTTTTCCCGCTGTTGCTGCCAGTTGGGCTTAAACGAAACGATAACCCTTTTTCCACCCGCATGGTTTTGTGTATTTTCGTGCCGCTTCACCTCGTAACTCCCCCCTCTCAAATACCCGTCTTTCCTCGAATGAGCATGTTTATGTTTTTGCTCTTGACATACTGTATCATGACTCCCCCCTCTCAATCGCTTGGTCTTTGCTTAACGCGGCATATGCATGGTCAGGCTGCCTTCGAAACTGAGCTGCGGTTGTTCGAGGAGGGCTTGGCCGGAGAGGCTAACACCGTCATCAATGAAGCCACGAGTGTGAGTGGGCGGGCGTTATTATCGCTGGTGTGCTGACGTCGGGAATGGTGCTGTTTTCAATGTCGTCTATTTGGGCTGATGGTTCAGTTTTTCTGTTATTTATGATATCTAACAACAAATCCGTCTTTATCCATACACAAGGTCAGTGTCCTGACGTTGTGGATGGTGCTGTTCCCAATGTTGTTTTGTGGGGTTGATGGTTCGGTTTTCTGTTCCTATCGTACGACGAATCCAACTTTATCTATACAAAAAGGTTGGTGTGCTGACGTCGGGGATGGTGCTGTTTTCAAGGTTTTCTCGTTCGGTTGACGTTGTTCATGCTCTCTTCGTATCTCACAACCAAATCCTTGCTTTGTTCACACAAAAGCGTCTAGAGTAATTCATTATGAATCCATAGCGGTAATGTTGTTGGTCTGTTGGTTTTGTTGTTTTCGTCTCTTTTTTGCTGTTTTCGTTAAGGCATCGACGAGGTCACGAGTGTAAAGACTAACACCGGTGAATCCGGCCGCTCGAATTAATTTGTTTTCTGTTTGGTTGCTTCTTTTTTTTTGCCCTCTGCAAAGGTGGTGGCCGCGGTATGGCAATCACCGTCGATCTTCCACTCGTTTGCCTCTTTCGCTACCCCGAGGCAAATTCATCCTGACCATCCCTTACACCTCGTTGCCGCAGATTATTAAGGGCACCGGCAACAGCAGGGACTGAGCAATGGGGGGTTCCCAAACGGAATAGAATCAATATTTGGTGGGTGTGGGAAAGGTCTGCACGACTAAATTCAGGCGTGTGGTGTGGCGGTGGGAACGGATCGGGTGCCGCCGCAGCTGTTTCGCCGGAGCTGTCCGAGCCTGGTGTGTGCCCTATTCAGGGCCGCTTTTTTGTTTTGAGTGTTCGTTTTGTTTCTCATGCCATGCCGTGGCGGATCTTGTCGGCAGGGATTGCTTACTTTTTTTGCGAGCCACACCCGGCTCCATCGGACTAGAAATAATGTCTTTCGTGATTGCGGTTCGCAACCAACCGTAGATTTGGTTGACCCGGACTAGGTAGATCCGGCTATGGCCTACTTCGTTGGACCGCGAAGACTAGGTAGATCCTGCTTTGGCCCGGTTCGTTGGCGAGCGGGGAATAGGTAGATCCGGCTTTTGGCACCGCTTTGTCGGGGACAACGGAGATCAGCCGCGAAAGGTCTGGTTTAGGCTCGCTTCCCTTTTTCGCGAACATGGATCGCGTAGATCCAGGGTGTACGAGGAAGCGTGAGAACGCTGTGGCGTTACCACTAGGCGATAGGATTTGAGCTGTCAACATTCAGCCTTCGGAGCAGCGCAAGGTTTGTTCCCGATGAATCGAGGCTTGAAACGGCAAACGTGTGACCCTACTAAAGAGCTTACTGCTGGGCATTGAATGATGCTGGATTCAAGGTGATGAAAGCTCTTTTCTACTTTTTCCGTGAACCCAGGGCTCCAGAGCGCTACACTTTTGCTGGTACGGGTCACGGTGGAGTGTCCGGTAGGTCTTGGAGGGGGGGGGGGCGTACTCTTATGTTTTGCATGCCTTAGTGGTTAGACCATTGACCACGCGTCCTTGAGAGGACGGAGCATTGTTCCCGCAGGACCGTTGACCGATGGCCAATCGTTCCTTTCTACTTTGCCGAAGGCGGCTCAAAAATGTCTTGCCTAGTAGGTCTATCCTAACGATATCCCTTCCCGCCTTTTCAACCCACCTCCTATGCCCCAGTACAGCTACCGTCCTTTCCTCTCTATTCCGTGCCTCAAACATCTCCCTGTACGTCCCATGTATTTTTCCCAGCTCAGTTGCAGTCCCTCAGGGGTGTCCGACATACCGACAAAACCATCCGCAAACAGCATTCCTGAAATAGACGTTTCCGTGTCCCCTACTTTTACTGCCTTCCGGACTGCCTCTACGACTTCCAACAGATCGTTGATGAACACCTGGAACAATGTTATGGACAGCGTGCAACCTTGTAGGACCCCCTGCTCAATGTCGAAGAATTCAGAGAGTTCTCCGTCTAACAGGACCGCACTTTTCGTACACTCTGTAATCTTCTTCAGCACTCTCCACATTTTCCCCCACAGCCCATTTCTCCATACGGTATCGTATGCCTTTTTCACGTCCAGGAAGAAGCAGTACGTCGGCTTTCCCGCCCTCTTTCTACCTTGGATGATTCTCCCTACCGTGAACACGTGGTCTACGCACCCCCTCTTCTTGCGGAAACCTGCCTGGCCCTCACTAATGCTATGTTCCTTCTCCAATACTCCCACTATCCTATCGTTCAGCAGCTTACAGAACACTTTTCCT